TTCTCACGGTGAAATCTGCTGTGCAACAAGCTCCTGTGCTTCAGTTGCCCGACTTCGCCAAGCCGTTTATGATAACGGCGGATGCGTCTGGGTATTGCTGCGGAGCGGTCCTCTCGCAGTTGGATGCCAAAGGTAACGATCGACTGATTGCCTTCTTGTCGAAGAAGTTCGGGAATACTGAGCGCAACTGGCTATCGCATGAAAAAGAGTTGTACGTCATCAAGCTGGCTCTGACGAAGTGGTGGCCTTACGTTTACAGCTCGCACTTTGACGTCTTCACCGATAATACGACTTGCCACTGGTTCCTGTAAACGCCCGTGTTAGCCGCGAAGCGAACAAGATGGTTGGAATTCTTCGGTCCGTCCGTTTGACTTCACCCTCCACCATCGTCCCAGCAAAACGAGTGTGGTGGCAGACGCGTTGTCGCGTCCTCCGCGCGCCCGTGTTCAAGTTGCTGCTTGTGCGGATCACAATTGTGACGAGACTGTCGCGTGAGATACGTTTGTGACGCAGTGGATCGAAAATGTGCTATCAATCAAGCGCATTGACTTGCGTACACTTGTGTTGATGGCCGACTCGCCTTCTCGGGGGGAGGAGATGCAAACAAACAGTCTCGAAGTCGAAGTACCACAACAACATGCCATCAACCATTCCGAAGAACTATAATACAGCACCGTCAAAGCGGACGAGGAGTTGAAACAAAGGTTCATCAAGCCTACGCCGAGACCAAAGAATTCAAAGATGCGACTAAGTTTGTAAAAAAGGACGAACTCTATTTCGTGAAGTCGAAAGACCAAATTTGCGAGTTTTGTGTTCCCAAGGACGACTTCCTCAAATGCGACATCATTTTGCAAAGCCATGACACGAGCACCACAGCGCACCCTGGGGTTCAGTGCACGCAGTTGCATGTAGCTCAATGGTACTATTGGAACCGAATGGACGAGGTGTCAAGCTGTACGTCGCAACTCGCGAAACCTGTGCACGCTATAAGCCGAGTAGTGCCAAAGCCAAATGGTCGAATGATCCCCATCAAGTCTCCCGACGAATGCTGGCATACAGTTTCCATCGATTGATCACAGGTCTCCCGGTTTCCAATGGCAAAGATTCTATTATGACTTGTGTCGACAAGACATCGAAACGGTTCAATACTGTGCCACGACGTCGAACGTTGATGCACACCAAGCTGCAATGGAGTTCATTGACAGTGTTCTCCGCAACTACAGTCTGCCTGCTGTCATTATCAGTGATCGAGATCCAAAGTTCACTAGTCAGTTTTGGCAAGCCTTGATGAAAATCATGAACGTGATATATACTACATGACCACGGCCGGGCGATCGCAAAGAGATGAAGCCACAGAAGGACAAAACCGAACTTTGGAGGATGCTCCACGTTGCCAACTTGGGTCACGACTGGGCTGAGCATCTCGGAACCCTCCAGTATGCTCATCAAGGACTCGTACAAACATCGACGGGAATGGCGCCCTTTGATTTTGATACTGGCAGAAAGCTTCGCAATTCGGTGTTGATTGACGTCCTGTCGTTGAACGAATATGCAAAGAACTTTGCTGAGCGACGCTATAAGTTGCTAAGGATGGCCCTGGACAACCTCGAAGAGGTTCAAGTCCGCCAAAAGGAATACTATAATCGTAAGAGAGCCGAAGACGGCGACAACGTCATGCTAGCTACTCGCGACATTCCTTTATAGCATGCACAGCTACTCGACGAGCGGGAGGGTCAAAGCTCGTACCACATTTCATTGGTCCCTTCAAAGTGACGGGAGTAATCAACGCAAATGCGATGCGGTTGGCCCTACCTGCGTCAATGCATAATGTCTTCAACGTTGACCGATTGAAGCGCCGTGTGCCAAACCCATCTCGATTCCAAAACCGTCCGATACCGAATGCTGCGCCTCATGTCCTGGACGACAAAGGAAATAAGCTCTTTAACGTAGTAGCGTTGCTAAGGTTATGGCAATTCAATCGCAAGAAGGAACACCTTGTCAAGTGTCATGGTTTGCCAGAGCACGATGGAACATGGGAGTTGGAGCGAACAATCAAGCACGTTGCGCAATTCAAGAAGCTTGTCCCAGACGAACGCGAGGTGACGCCCGGGACCAAGCAATATCAGGGGGAGGATGAAGTGACTAAATGGAGTTAACTTACGACGTCGCGATGTCGAGTGTGCGTGGCCGCAATGAGACGGCAGCTAGCTGCACGCTCGACACCCACTCGAGTGGCACCTATTCTCCTGCATTTGGCCGATCTACATGTGACCTTGAGTACTGTATTGCATTGTGATCTTAAGTTGGTACATTTTAAAGATGCCAATCAAATCACTTCCAATATTTTCTCTGAATTATCAACTACATTGTACCTTACAACACCTCCGTCAGTGATGGACGTGAGGGGGAGGGCGGTGGTCGTTCGATCGAGCAACCTGAAGCCTGCTGCCGAGCGCAACGTCAAACTGCGAGCCCCAGATTCGATACCACGCCCGCCACTCTACGTTCCGAAGCATGGACTCCAAGTACATGACGCCGTTGGGTCGGTAGCGTGCGTGGCATCGCGCTTGCCGTGCCGCCATGTGGGCTGTCTCCCACATCCGCCCAAAGTCGAC